TACATAACTTTATCCATAATAAGAATTATATAACTAAAGTATTCATATTTCATTTGTAAATCATTCTGTTTCTAGGCTGAAATATTCATAATAGTAAATCAAGTAATACTAACACTACCCAACATATGAATTGTGATGTAGAGGTTAAACGTTCGTTCACGAGACTGTAGGTTCTACGCTCGATTCTCATATGCACAGTTGTGGATGTACAATGCTAAAGAGTTATATGTTAAGACAAAATGACTATCCAGTATCTCCAAGTTGTTAATAGTGTTCTAACTGAAATCGGTTCATAGTTTTAATGATATAAACAGCTCTGAGAGTTCTTTCATACTTTTCATTGATCTTCATTCATGACAGTTTTACCGGTATTATGATGTAAAGTATGTATACTGATTATCATGGAATAATACTATCGTGTTTATATTGTGAGCAGCTAATGAGAAACAGTGAAATACAATGAATTTCTGTTATTTAACTATATTTATTGTTTTTGCTGCAGTCACTTTGATACTTCAAATGGTCTGAACTGTTTTTCTGGTCAGCGTTTTTTCAGGGAGTTAGTTTTCCACAGGATGAAGTCGGTAACCCCATACTTAACCTTCCTCCTTTATCCGGGCTTGGAACCGGCACTAGCCTCAGAGGGGCTCCACATGAAGTTATGTCACACTATATTCCAAGATGGTTTATTTATTACATTTGGTTTGATTTCTACAAACAGTTGAATCAAATAATCTTTATTTTCAGGAGGTCTTATGGAGATTTTAGTAATTAAATAGTTGAATTCATGAGCTAATTAAAGGTAGACCATCATGGGAAACTTGGAATCATTGGACGGCTGTTTCATCTTACAGTACAATGTACATCCACGATCCCACACAAAAGGGACGCGAACCTAACACCTTTAGTCTCATGTGCCAACGTTAACCTCCACACCACTGAGTGGGTGTTAATATCTAACTTCGACCAATCCACGAAATTCCTTCACCATCCACCATTGTCTTCAATGAGTTACTATCTCACAACAGACCTGGTTGAACTTTACTGGTCACAGTTTCTCACTAGAACTCTAGGAAATAGTTCTTGAAGTCAATCATTAGTGAGCATGTGATGATTATTATCAGAAGGGGATTTTATGCTGGGATTTTAGCAACTGTTGAAGAGTCCCATATTAGGACAAAACAACCGTCCAACCCTTCTAAATTTTCCATGTTAATCTAGCTGTAATCTTTATTTCCTTATTGTTAATTGTAATATGATGTTTAACATTGTATTCCTACTTAAAATGATCAGATAATTCGTTACTGATATATTAATATCATTGAAATAACTAGAATAAGCAACAAAATTCCTGTATTGATTGAATCAATCACTAAACTCTTTTTTTTTTCAGACTAAACCTGATGATGAATCGGATGAAGGTAAGTTCACTTACTTTCTTTACATCATTCATTGTTATATTCTATCTATGTGTTTGTAATTAGTTTATTACTTACTTACTTACTTACTTACTTACTTACATTTGTTACTTCCAATGGAGTATAGGCCACCAACGAGCATTTTCCAACCCACACTGTTCTAGGACTTCCTTTCTTATTCTATCCAATTGTGATTTCATCTTCGCAGATCTGTCTCTATTTCTCGGCGTAATGTGTTCTTTGATCTTCCTCTTTTCCTTTAGCCTTGAGGATTCTAAGTGAGGGTTAGCGTTGTGACACAGTTGGGTGTTTTCTTCAATGTGTGTCCTATCCACTTCCAGCGCTTCTGTCTGATTTCTTCCTCCATTGGGATCTGGTTTGTTCTCTTCCACAATAGCTTGCTACTGATAGTGTCTTGCCAACGGATCCGAGGTATTTTGCGTAAACAACTGTTAATAAACACTTGTAACTTTTAAATGATAACTTTCATAGCTCTCTCAAAGTTTCCGTCCCATTCAGTAGTTCACCTATCCTAGGAATACTAATTTATTATTCAGAATGGTTATCACATTGTTTTTGTGTACTTTATCTTTCTTTCTGCTCACAATCAATCAATCAATCGATCGATTGACTGATTGATTGATTATAGATCCTTGTGAAAACGTAAAATGTAAATTGGGTGAAATGTGCAAAGATGGCAAATGTAACTGTTTGGATAGTTGTCCATCTGAATGGAATAGTTATAATCGGCAAGTAAGTCTGATAGATTTTATTGATCTATACTGATTACTTATTGATTTTAGTGATACCAATAGGATTTTTAAGATGTTTTATTGATGAAGAACATTTCGTTTTTGGTCTCATTGTGTTCATTGAACTAGGAAGCGTAATTCTGAAGCTTTTCATTATCACTCTGGACAAAATGATCAACGCTTACTTCATGTAGAAGTAAGAACTGAGCATCCCATTTAGGTACAAGTATTCTCCATCGTTCCAAAACTTTATGAGCATAATGCACAAAAGAACGTCTAGATAGTAATCACGTTTTGATTATGTAATCTGGTGTAGTTACTTATCATGACTTCTCATGAAATCATAACTCTATCCTTTATTCCAACTAGTTGAACTGAATGAATATCAGTCATTTTACCTTTTGAATTAGTCAACACGAATCATAAAGTTTTACATGTACATATTAAAGAATGCCTTGTCTCCAAGAAGCTATTGTAATTGATTCAGTTGAAGACATTATCAACTATATATATATATATATATATATATATATATATATATATATATATATATATATATATATATATATATATATATATATAACCATCGTGAGAATAAATCAACTGTTTGTCAGTAACTAATGTTCTACTCTGATTAGTCATTCTAATCGCGAGGGAATTCTCAGAGTTCTAGTGAGAAGCTGTGATCAGTGGAGCTAATCCATGTCGGGTAGAGACAAGTATCTACCTCAGTACAATGGAAGTTGGTCGCGCAATTTCGTGGATTGATTGATGTTAGACACTATCACCATTGGATGCCGGCCGGCTCAGTGGTCCAGTTGGTTAAGCGCGAGACCGAAGGCCCTGGGTTCGAATCCCGCGAGCGAGATTGTGGATGCGCACTGCTGAGGAGTCCCACGATAGGACGAAACGGCCGTCCAGTGCTTCCAGGTTTCCAAAGGTGGTGGTCTAACATCAATCGGTTCATGATTTCAATCAAAACCCTAATCCCAGAAAATTGATCATTAGGTAAATTAACTATAAGCTATACCTCTTAGAATGACAGGTAATATTTCTCTTATTTCAATAGTTGACATCATAAGTTAATTGAATGTAGACTATCTTGGAAAATCTAGAATCGCTGGATGATCGTTTCGTGACGTTGAGAATGTCTACCTACTTACTAGGGCTAAATGAAAGTTATAAAGCAGTTTGAAGAATAAGGATGATGATTTACAGTTGATGATTAAGGATTAGGAATTCGAACTAACATCAGCTATCATGCCAAAACTGTATTTAGCCAAATGGATGAGTGAATTTCGTGCCAAAATCTAAATCCTGTTATCCTAATTCCGATTGATTAGGTCCATAAATTATATGATATAAGATAGTTTTAAGTATACTAGTTCAGTAGTTGTTTAAGTAGTACACATATTACAGCGATTCAATGCATCAGCCGGGAATTTTTAATATTTCTTAAATGGACAGCCTGTTGATTTATGAGCGGTATATTTAAGGTTATTACCTATTGCAGAACGAATTCATGATAATCATCTACAACTAGAGAAAGTAAAACGAAAATGGACAGCACGAAACAACAAAGTAATAATTACCTGAATATGTCAATCGGGTCTACCAAAATGCACGTGTCATGTGACCCGGTGATATACTGTTGATGTTATTCAAATGAGTTAAACTTTCTGAGGACGGTGTTAACATAAAGTGACAGCAAATAGGTGGTTTTACTTAGGGAATCCACGAATAAAAATGGCCAAACATTTAAAGATCCTATAATACTACTTGTGGAATGCAATACACTTACAGGTGCTAGAACATTCAATGCATTTGCAGAGGAGCAGTATGCATCGATGTAGCGAATAAATAATCGGAGTGATTTTATCGTGCGGATAGATTGTGGTAGGTTATTCCAGAGTCTAGAAAATTTACAGGTGAAGTAATTCATATAAAGAGATGATTTAGAATGAGTTTGTTTCACTAGTGCCAAGGAATTACGGATGTCATAATGAGAAATTTCTGCATATTGAATCACGTGATTGGATATAAACGATAGTTTATGAAGTAGTTTGAAGAAAAAGATAAGATTTAATTTGAGTCTCCTCTTTCATTAAAGGGTCTAGACCAAGTTTATTACATCTAGAATTATAAGTTAAGGTACAATCAATTCCAAGAACTACTTATTTTTTGTCTGCTTAGCGTTTTTTAGTGAGTTCGTTTTCTACAGGATGGGGTCACTAGCCCCATGTTCAACCCTCCTCCTTTATCCGGGGTTGAGAGCGGCAATAACCCCAGATGGGCTTCAGGCAAAATTTCAAGAATACAAAGTGTAAATCGTCTCTGTATTCGCTCACTATGTATATTTCTTACTTTTAGTTATGTGTAGATGGTGTCACATATAGACATGAATGTGATCTATGGAGAAATCAATGTTATTGTCGATCAGGTGATTCAAGATGTGGAAGTGATCAATTCAGTAATCATAGAGCAAATGAAAATTCTGCAATAAAATATTATGATGAATGTCGTGGTAGGTTTTATTTTAAAGAATATTTCAATATTTAATATTATTCTAAGCAAAGATGAATAGGGGTTGCTAGTGGAATCTAGTTTGATACGGGTTTCGTCCTCTTTGGAACTCATCTGTTCGATGTATCTGCATCTCAGAGTTGATGTTCACACTTAGAGGGACTCGAACCCAGTATCATTCGCTTCAAATGCCATCACATTATCCACTTAACTATTGAATCCTGATAACTATTTTCTTGTGCAATGGGATAAAGTTTAAATTCACTTGGTATTGTTTTACTTGTATCTTCCTATTGTTACTTAGGACTGGAATTGATCAGTCTCTTGTTGGCAAATGTGTTTTAATGATAATCAAAAAAAAAAAAGAAAACTGGCTCAACAACCAATTCAGTATGATTAGTCTCATATATGTAGCCCATTAGCAATGGTGATAATATGAGATAACTTTTTTCTGTCTAAACATTCACTTATGATTAATTGTGCAATCATCAATAGAGACTAGTTGAATATAACTTCAGTTATAGAATCTCTAGTTAATCTATTCTGTTAGGTGAATGAAGGTTACTGTCAGGTAACCACTTCAAATCTACAACCCTACTATCCGTCATGAATATACAGTCAGTTAGTCAATCAGCTGCAACGCCGGACCAGGCATATATATGCATCGGTTCAAGTTGCCATACTTCATTAGCACAACAACATCAACACCAAATTCATAGAAGTATTTACTTCAATGGTAGTAATATATAAAAAGAAAAGGTTGCACATAAGGATATAGTACAGGAAGAAAAAATTAGTTCGTAGAAAGAAAGATATAAAGCGATTTTAATCTCACACTTTAAGGGAAGACAAAGACTGTATACATCGGCTCCATTGTAATCGATCGATTCTGATCCATGTCACCAAGAGTCTCCAACCATTGGTTACGGTAGTCACGCGGAAATCAACCAAGTAGTCTGCACCTACCAACATGGTTCAGACTAGGAGTCAGTGACTTCAATAACTGTTGCCTTATTTTGGTTTGGATAAAATTAACTTTCTTCCAACCATCCCTAACACTAGTCAACGTTGCCCATCATGATATTCGGTGATAACAATCCATTATAACATGATCATAAACTAAATTGTTTTCTTATTTTTGTTGATTCAATCTTTATTTCATTCATTTATATCCTGTCAACTATTTTGATGGATAGGAAATGATGATTAGAATCATTTAACTATTCCAAATCATAAAATCAAATTTGATTTTTTTACTAAATCCTAATGAAACATTGATTAACAGTCAATAGATTTCATCTATCAAATGTGTCATATTCATTCCTGTCCATATGGTTAAAGGTAGAAAGAAAGAAAGGGAGGAAGGTAGGAGGGAAGGAATGGAGGAAGGAAGGGAACGGTGGGGAAGGGAAGAGATGGGAAGGGAAGGGAGGGGAAGGGAAGGAAGGAAGGAAGGAAGGAAGGGAAGGATCATTATTGTTTCTCTTTCAATATGTCAATTGAAATATTAAATAGAGACAATTTATAATGAATAATTGATTAGATTAGTTGCCTCATAGAAGAGGCTAGAAAATAAAAAAAAGGACACTAATCTAATTCTTTTAAAGTATACCAATCTATATTAAGTGACCACAAAGTTGTCTAGTTTATGAATTTATTTGAATATATAAATATTAGTAAAAAGGGGTAATGAAAACATATGCGCCACACAAATCTTATTCGATATGTGTGAGGGCTGTGATACTACCCGGGTAACCAGATCGAAACAGGTGGTTTTCTTAAGGGGCTATATCCGGAGCCTTCGACCTAAAGATCTAATTCACAAGGCAGTGGAGCAATGTCAGGAGATGCAGTCACATGGTAGCCGGTGAACAATAATTGGTTCATACGCCATTTGTTCCTTTAGGATACTGTAGCTCATGTGCACCATTGGTTTGGAATAAAGGTTTTCCAACTCCCCTAGGTGAACTTGCCATGTTCACCAACCCAGTTAAATTGTTCGATATTCACTTTTCCACCTCTCAATTTCGTAAACAACACCGCCACCATGAGTTATCTAGTCCTTAGTATTGATCCAATTCTATGAATCATATTTAAATGTGAATGAACATTAACCTCTATTATTCTACATGGTAGTTAACTATGTTTTGTGTTAGGTGACTGAATTTAGTCATTTAGAAACTGTAGATCTAAGTATTATACTACTTAATATTTATCAGTAAAGTAGTATTTGAGAATTTGAAATTAGAATCACTTAACTCCTATTTGGGTGGGTTAAAAAAAACAACCTCGGGCAATCAGTTTGTCATCTGTACAGTCAAATCTATTCATTTAAAGAAAGAAGAAATCGAATTGTACCTAGTGATTTAAACTGTAATATCACTTGTTGAAATCATGAGTCGATTAAGGATAGACCACCATGGAAAACCTGGAAGCACTGGATAGCAGTTTCGTCCCAGTATGGGACTCGTCAGCAGTGCACAACCACGATCCCGCACCCCGCGGGATTCAAACCCAGGACCTATCAATCTCGCGCCACTATAATAGACAAAAGTTAGCCTCAGTTACGTTATCTGGTGTTAACATCACTCAGAGATGAAAGTGAACTGCTTCTGAACTTATAAAGTGTAATAACAGTAAGGAAATACTTCTAACGAAATGTAAATTTATGACAAAGATGTCTAAATTTCCAATCTACAGCATTGGTTCTACATGTAAAACATACAAATTACGTATCATCTAACGAAAATATGGTGGGTTTTCATTTTAGATTAAATGGAATAGGTTATGAATAAAACAACTTAAATATATGGTAAGGCATCATACGTTTAAACCGATAAAACTTCAGTATGTAATAGGATTTATGAAATATTTCTACAAATGGAAGTTAATATCAGAAACGGTTTTTGTGGGTAGTATAGTAATTTCAATAGTTGAGATCATGAGTCAATTGAAGTTAGACCATTATGGAAAATCTGGAAACACTAAACGCCTGTTCCCTACTAGTATGGAACTCCTTAGCAGTGTGTATCCACGATCCTGCTTCGTGAGATTCGTATCCAGGATTTATCAGTTTCGTGTGCGAGCGCTTAACCACTAGACCAATGAACTGACATCCAATGGTGTTAATGTTTAACTTCAAAAAATCCACTAAATTGAGTGATATATCCACCATTGTCTTCAGTGAGCTGATATCTCACAACAAACTCGTTTGAACTCCACTGGTCACTACTTCTCACTAGAACTCCAGGATATACCTCTTGAAGCCAGTCATTAGTGAGTATATGTTGGTTAATATCAGAATGGGGTTTTGTGGATATTATAGTAATTTCAATGGTTATAGTTTTGATTTTAATATTCAATAAATAACGAAGTTTCTGATTATCTTTATTTATTCAAGATCTTAGCGGTTTATGCGATTGGGATCAGAATGAAAGTACATTTTCTCTTCGACTTGGAATGTGGTTTCAAGAGTTGTTACGTCAAAAAGTAATTACTATAGTTTCCTTTTATCATTTTCATAATCATATTTAAATAAGATTTTTATTACTCTATTGATCGAACTCGGTTACTGTTGATTAATGTGAAAATAATTCGATCAAAATCCAACAGATAATGGGATTATGAATGTGCACTGATGAGGAGTCGCATACTAGAACGAAATGGTCGTTCAGTGCTTCCAAAATTCCATCGTGATCTTGCTCTAAATGACTCATGAATTCAACTATTAAATTACCAAACTCTTCACAGAGTCCCCTTCTGAAAGTAACTGATGTCTAAAATCCTGGAACACAATAAAACAACAATTTTTATATTTTTCACTGTATTTCTTACAATTCGATCACACATTTATGCGTTGACGTCTTACAATCACCCTCAAAAATTATACAAAATCATTATACCTACTTATAAATTTTAAGTAGGTTAATAGATGCCTACAAAATTGTGATAAATCTGTAAACGGTCGATCAACATTGAAAATGTAAATACATACAATTTTTCGTGATGCATCAGCATCGGCTTTGGAAACTTAACATCATATTGTCGTTGATGTTTACTATATTTCCTTTTTTTGAAAGCTCATTTGATCAGGTATTTTTATAAAGTTAGTACTCTGCTGTAAAAGATGTATGTAAACTCTATAGGTAGATAGGCTAAAACTTCACTTATATAACTAATCCTACAATGGTTTCTTCAATGAAATCAAAAGAAGAATAAAATGTCACCGGAGTGCTTAGGCGAAACCGGAAAGACAAATCATCAGCTTAAGACAATGCTTCTCGGTGATATAAATAAATAGAGCCACTACCTGTTGAATTATCCTGGTCAATGACCTGTGATTTAATTTTAATTTTGTCTTCCATACTCTTAGGGTCATCAACAAACAATCACACTAGTGTAACAAATAACTTACTGTATGTGAACGGGAAACTTTTCAATCCAACTCTTCCCAGTTGCAAGAAATTTTTCTTATCATCAATTTTGTTTAGTTTCCTTACAAAAACCAGCATTCAATTGAATATGACTTTAAGTCACTAGCCTTCCAAGTACCATATGAGTTTACTGTAATTAAGAGAAATAAAAGATCATTACATTGGAATTCATTTACTTAATCCATTAAGAAGTATAAAAATATTATCGGGGGAAAATTTGGTCTACAAATTTGTTATAACTGTGACTGCAGATTAGAGCGCAGCGTATTATCAATCGGACCAAAGACGCGCAAACACGTAAGAACGGCCTAGAGTTCTGATTGGTCCCGCTTTACTGTCTAGCTCAGCCAGTTAAGTCCAGAACGGAAGTCTCAGCCTTTGAGATATGAATCCAATCAGCTATCACCGGCATTATGAGGTGGATTTAATAAATCTGAGGGAGGAATATGAATCCATGACAAAATTTTAAGCTTGAATATGAATGTCAACTTCCGTTGCCTATGAAAAACGTTTCTCAATATTGACAAGTGAAATAGATACATTTGTGATGCTTTTCTACTTTAGTCAAAGATACAAGATTCAATAAACTGATCACTAATATGACTGTTATTACTATTTATGAGCAGTTCATTCATTTAAAAGGTATTGTTCTCTCTAAAACTATCTTTGTAATTCTAAGCAAAGATGGATAGTGGCTATCACTGGAATCTAAAACCCGCGTTTCATCCTATCTGGGACTGGTCAGCTAAATGTACTTGCATCTCAGTAGCTAAGTGATTAACACTATGCCGTTTGAAGCGAAAGGTACTGCGTTCGAGTCCCAGAGTGCATATCAAATCTGAAATTCAGGTACATCCAACTGACGAGTCCCAAATAAGACGAAACGCGCGTCATGAATTCCCCTAACCCTAACGCATAGTGGTCACATATGTCAATAAGAGATTGATCAATTACAGTCCTAAACACCAATGGGAAAGTTCTAGTAAACAATGCTAAATGAATTTAACTTTAGAATTTACTGTTTCACTTCTTAAGAATTTTTATTATACAGTGGTCTTCTGCTTCTTGGTCAAATGATGATGATAGTCTACTTCGTCCAATGGATGCTAAAGCAAGAAGTACTACAAGTAAATTAGTATCACAAAGTTCACCTCATGAAAGAGTTAATGGTGCTGTGATTAGTTATTGGTTTTGTGAACTTGATCGAAGGAATAGAGGGTTAGTTAAATTTAATTTTTATGTTTGATTCTTGCTTTTAATCATTATATACTTTCATTTAATTCAATACATTCTTTCTTATCTATCAATGAAGAATTTTCTTAGCTATGATACAGGATTTTTTGTTGGATGCCGGCTCAGTGGTCTAGTGGTTAAGTGCTCGCCCACGAAACCAGTAGGTCCTGGATTCGAATCTCGCAGAAGGAGAGGTCGTGGATGTGCAGTACTGAGGAGTCCCACAATAGGACGAAACGGTCGTCCAGTGCTTCCAGGTCTTCCATAATGGTCTAACTTTAACTGACTCGTGATGTTAACTATTGAAATTTTTTGTTCTTATTAGACTAGGAATTTCAATAGTTGAGATTATGAGTCAATTGAAGCTAGACAATCATAGGAAACTTGAAAGAACTAAACAGTCGTCCCCTACTAGTATTGAACTTCTCAGGAGTGAACATCTACGATCCCGTCTCCCCCTGCAAGACTCGAACCTATGACCTATCAGTCTCGCGCACAAGCGCTTAACCATTAGACCACTGAGCTGGCCAGTATCCAATGGTGTTAATGTCTAACTTCAACCAATCAACATCTGAAACTAACTTGTTTCCAAGACGATATAAATAACTTAACTCTTAGAAAAAGTCAAGCATATTCATTGTTGAGATGAAAACATTATCCATTATATTTTACCTACCAGAAATATTATAATTGAAGCTAATCTTTAACTAATTTTCAATGATTTGTTACTAACCAATTTCTCAAATTGATAAATCAAACTATAGTTAACTATGATGATTTAGTGGGTGGGTGGTTAGTTGATAGAGTGGTCTAGATGATATAGAAGCAACAAAAAGAAACATAGAAGAGTTTCCTCTATTTTGTTTTCTTTTTGTGTGTTTTGTAATAGTAGACTATTGAACATCTAGACTAGTTTATTGACTAACAAGATGGGAAATACACCATAACTTACCACCTATTCAATATGAACTTGTTTAATGATCTGACCTAAATAGAAATTATTCACAACAGATTAATTGAATAAACAATCTTAACTAGATGATTTATTGAATAGGGTAATGAAATGATGAAAATGATTTGACCTGAATTATAAGAAACAGTTTGTGAATAATAAATATTATCAGAAAGAAAAAGGGGATTTTGTGAAGAGTGTAATCATTGAATTCATGAATCGATGAGAAACTGGAAGCATTGAACAGTCTAGGACTCCTCAACAGTGTGTATCTATGATCTTGCACGCGGAACTTTAATCCAGAACCTCCAGTTTCACTATGCTGAGGAGTTACATACAAGGATGAAACAGTGATCTAGTGTTTCAAGGTTTTCCATGGTGATCTCGCTTTAATCAACTCATGATATTAACTATTTAAAATCTGATATCATTATTATTTTTTTATTTTTTGGCGATCTGATTTAACATCTGAGCTACCTGTTCCTACCATCGATCTAGATATTTCAACACATTATTTGTTTTCTTGTTTGTTTTACCATTATCATTATGTCCATTCATCGCATAAGGTATTCAGGTGAGCTTGTAATAAGTTTACGTCATTTCGGTGTATAAGCTGCGAAAAAAAGCCCAATCAGAGACATTGTGCTTGTTGTAAGTAGTATGTATTGGAACGATTGTACATGATTCAAATAATGATTCTTGAATCATCATCAGAATGGGTTTTGTGGAGATTTTTAGAAATTTCACTAGTTGGAATCATGAGTCAATTGAAGTTATACAATCATGGAAACCTGGAAGCACTGGACGGCCGTTTCGTCCTAGTACGAGACTCCTCAGTGGTGCGCACCCACGATACCGCCCCCCCCCCCCGAAGAGACTTCAACCCAGGACCTACCAGTCTCGCGCCAGGCGATTAACCAAATAGACCACTGAGCTAGCCGGCACCCAACGGTGTTAATGATGTCCAACTTCAACCAATCCACGAAGTTGCGCCACCGTACACCATTGTCTTCAGTGAGTTGATATCTCACAACAGACCTGGTTGAACTCCACCGGTAACGACTTCTCACTAGAACTCCAAGAGTATCTCTTGAAGTCAGTCACTAGTGAGCAGGTGATTATTATTATCAGAATGGGTTCTTGAATTGTTAACATCTAATTGACGATTACTCAATATGTTATCGTCAAGATGAATCAAGAAGAAGTAAGAAATGAGAAACTTGTTGAAATACTTTTGTGTTGAGAATTCCATGTTCCAGCAAAAATATATATGATATTGAATAAAACCGTTTATACTAATAATAAATAATTAACTCATATTACTAAGGTATCATTCAACTGTTCAACTGTTTATCTAACTTCCTTTTGATTCACTCTATAACAGAATTCTAATTCAATATCTTAATCAATGAAATAACTACTTCATACTCGTAACAAAACTTTATTCTCATGGATTCATCTCGGTGTTGCGATATCGCCAATCAGAGAGCAGCGAATTATCGATCGAACCAGTGACGCATAAAACCCGTACGAGCAGTCTAGAATCTTGACTGACTTCGCTTCTTGTCTAGCCCAGCCAGTTAAGTTCAGAACACCAATCTCAGCTTCTGTGATATGAATCATCTATTTCAAACATACTGGGTTTATATATCAACCAGAAAGACCACATCGTATCATAAAATAGGAAACAACATTTGTACAAGAATTAGCCAAATGTGGTTGTGAATATGGCAGGTAGTAATGAATAGTCTGGGCATAACTCATGAATGGTAACTCGTATAATAACACTCTATGGGTCAAATTAAAGCTTATAATAAGAGTGACATGAATATGAACAGTTTAGTTACATAACAATTATACGATAAAAATATACCCATAGTATTGGTCCATAAATGGATCCCAAAAGATTACCATTCATTATTCTTATCGGGATATAACAGTAGAAATTATAGTAATACTGATAGTAACAACAATATTGGTAGTAGTAATAATAATAGTAGCAACAATAGTAATATAAAGAAAATCTGATCACAATTGTGTATATGAGTTCTGTATGAATAAAAGCTAATGAAATGTTGTTGTTGTCGTTGAATATTATGTAATCATAATGATAATAACCATTTGTAAGAGATTAATAAGAAGATATGATGTTTACTTCGAATCTCAAACTGAGTCCTGATAGCGACTTGCTGGTGCGATGTATGTGTGTGTGTGTGGGGGGGGGTCGGAGTTTAAATTCACTTGGTATTGTTTACATGAATCTTTTCATTCATGTTTAGGACCAAAGTTGATCTGTCTCTTATTGGTATATCTGTATGCTGTGTGAATTGTCTCAATATTGCTTTAATTCACATCAACTCTGAGATGTAGGTACGTCCAATTGACGAATTCCTAATAGGACGTAATGCGGGACCACTGCTAGCAACTATCCATCTTTCCTTATATGATGATGATGATGATGACAACACCTTATTACATGAATATAATTTGTTTAAAACAAATAAAACAGAATGGTAACAAAATAGAAGATAAATTATCATGTTTATTCTACCATTTGGCTACTGCAATGTATTTTGTACTGTATTATTTTATTCACAAATTCTACATTGAAACTCGTTTAAACATGAATATGAGTTGATGATAGAAAAAGTACTTTTAATATGTTTATTTATAGAAATAAAAGAAAGTCTATTCATCTTTATTTCCATGATAGATTGATTTAAGGTATAAAATAAATTATAATAATCGTCTGCTCATTAGTGACTGACTTCAAGAGATACTCTTGGAGTTCTAGTGAGAAGTCGTTACCGGTGGAGTTCAACCAGGTCTGTTGTAAGATATCAACTCATTGAAGACAATGGTGTACGGTGGCGCAACTTCGTGGATTGGTTGAAGTTGGACATCATTAACACCATTGGCTACCGGCTAGCTCAGTGGTCTAGTTGGTTAGACGCCTGGCGCGAGACCGATAGGTTCAGGGTTCAAGTCTCGTGGGGGTTGGGATCGTGGACGCGCACTGCTGAGGAGTCCCACCCTAGGAAGAAACGACCGTCCAGTGTTTGCAGGTTTTCCACGATTGTCTAACTTCAATTGACTCATGATCTCAATCAGTGAAATATTGTTATTCAATGATAACTTTATTACTAAATCAAATAATAACCTGAAAATATCAGGTAATGATATTGATCTGTAGGTAGCACTGAATAATGATGATTCAGTTCTCTAACATATTCTTCTTCTTCTTCTTAAAGTTACAAATACGATGATATTGATGAATACAGACATAGATGTAACCCATATCAATGAAGACTTATTCTTGATTATCATCATTCGTTCATTATTCATTTTAATCTTTATATTAGAATACATCAGACAAAGACGGATAGATCATATGATGATAAGTGAGAAAATCAACTGTTGGTGGCCTATTATGAATGAATGAATTAATCATCTGGCCAATGTCATCATTTACATGTCTTTGTCTGGGTCATTTTAGACATATATACTTCATGATTTCCGTTTGTTATACTGATACATATCAACATACAAAAATTGTTCACTTTAAACACATTACTTATATAATAATGAACGGCTGTGAAAACTTTAGTTGCTAAGACCTTTACAGTACAATTTCCCATATAATCTCAATGTTCTCTGTGAACACATTGAACTGATTCAAACATTCTGGAAGTGTACATTATCAATTGAATTAGTTTAATAACTAAAACATATTTGATCAATAATAAATATATACATTTTTAGTGTTTTGTTTTGATACTTTTCGATTTGCAAAATGTCCACCAACTGTCACAAAATGACTTAGTTTTCATTGTTCTTGAATTTTCATACAAATTGCATTCTGTTGCCATTCTTTACTGTTCAGTTCTCTTGTCTCTTTGCTGTCAGACCTTCTGTTTACGACTAACATCATCTACTACTTATGTCAATATGAATAGCACACACCACACTCGTCCCCCCTTTAAGGCAGTCGTCCTTGCGGTGTTTCATGCTCGCCGTGCCACATTCTCCGTCTCTGCAGTCTGTGCTATGCTCTCCGTCAAAATTTCGAGTCTGCGGCGCGCCGACCTCCATAGCTCCGTCGACCTGCCAGCGCAACAACATCCGACATCCACCCGGCACCTTATCACCCGTGCTCCACTGGACTGCCGAGCCATCTACATCCGATGTCCACCCATCAGCCGCATGTCCCACAGCTCCTCTCCGTCGGCAGCACCTGGTGCGGCCAAAGCCGCCCAGCCGGAACACTCCACTCGACGCTACTCCTCCGCACCAAAATGCCCCAACTAGAACCTCAGCTCCAAGCCCGCAACGGCGTTCGCAGAACAGCACCCATTCCCTCCTGGTTGGCAGCGTCACCAAATGTAGTGAACAGAACATCAGTAGGGACAACCGAATTTATCTAACACAAACTTACAGGACTTGTTAATAAAATCTAACAATCATAAAGTAAGTGCTTGGTTTGCAAAATGTCCATCGATTGTCTCATAATGACTCAGACTTCATTGTTCTTGCATTTTCATACAAATTGCATTCTATTTCCATTCTTTACTGTTCGATTCTCTTGTCTCCTTGCTGTCAGACCTTCTGTTCACGACTAACATCATCTACTACTTGTGTCAATATGAGTAGCACACACCACACTACTGCTTTCGATAGAAAAGAAGACCCCACTATACGTCCGACTTGGACTATCTATCCAATGATATGAAACCATAACTTTAACTTAGATATGTAGACGATACCTTTGTTGTTATAAAAAAACTCATTGAGTCCCATGTGTCCGATCATAAATTAATTTTAATTTGGTTATTTCTTCACTGAAGAAGTGGATTACAATGAGTCACGAAACGTCAGCAAATCTAATGTTTCTACTCAGTTGGATATCTACATCTATTTTTATTTATAATAATCTACCCAATGTGTTACGACAGTCCATAGGTGAACTTGAGGTAGCCCTAAGAAGGTCAGAAAGAGCCAAAGATGTTTCATCTAATTATCTTTTGAAAGAATATTCCAGAATCTCTACGTGAAGCTTCCCTGTTGAACAAATACTAATAACCCCCTATATGCGGATTGGAGGACTATAATGATGATTTCGTTTTGACTACCTGACAGTTTTGTACTATAATTGACACTATTTGGAATAACATTCCTTTCACTTGTATTCTGTCTTCTTATTAGCGACTTTGAAGTGTTCTAGCTGGAATTTGTGCTGCTGATGATGATGTCATCCACTTGATCTATAAATCTTTTCCACCAACAATGCCCATCTTTTTTCTTGACATAATTGATCATTTCATCCAGAGATTATGGCTTGTGTCATTTAGTCTATTAAAGAATTGTGCCTTGCCTTTTATGTTTTCTATATTTGATCATGATATGAATATTCTATTTATTCTTTATTAGTTCATTACAACAAGATGATTTGAACTACTTATATCAATTGTTATTACCTTCAACACCATGTTTAGAAGTATTTATTAATCGATGTTCCGGTTCTGGTGGAATATCATTTGATCAATGGCATAATTGTTTTGATATTCCTCAAGGTTAGTTATGTATTTACAATATGTATATGATTGATAAATCTTGTTAATTCGAACGCTATATTCGTTTCCTAAACTATTCTGTAACCCCCAAGCTAGAACTATTCAGTGACTTGAATAACGAGAGAGAGAAGACGCAAAGTATGCGAGAAGTACCTTACTCCAAGGTTCATTTCAATACAGAAAATACAGGGTTTTTATAATATTTTAAATGTCCTTGGGTTGCTGGAAGATTCTGGAATGTTACTAAACATAGTAGCAGTGTAGCAATTAGCCAATCAGAACCTCTATATGTGACGTTTCGTTCCCATGATATTTTTGGCTAAAACTTCAAGTGAACGCTGATTAAATGAAACGCTTCTTAGTGTTTCCTGATGCTTGCTTGCCTTTTGCAAGAAATTTCCTGGATCACTACAACAATGATCTCTTTGATAAATTAGTAAAATACGATCTTAGAATTGTCGTTTTCAAAATATCCTTCACTCGGGATAACACGTACATTTCATGTCTTTTTGTGCGATAAGGAACATTCTCAAAAGTGTATAGAACTCAATTTCATTATAAACCTGATCGTTCCCCACAAATTCCTCCACCCTTAAAATTAGTGTTATATTCCATTTAAAAAAGTTCGAAGGAACAATTAATAAATATCACAAGGGGTTTTTGCGAATATTGTAGTAACTTTAGTAATTGAATTCATGAGTCAATTGAAGCTAGACCACCATGGACAAAACTTGGAAGCACTAGACGACCGTTTCATCTTACTGTGAGACTCCTCAACACTTCACATCCACGATCACATACACCAAAAGAACTCAAACCAAACACCTTCAATCTCTTGAATGTGAACACTTAACCTCTAAACCACTGAACTGGCCGGCATCCAATGATGTTAATGATGTCCAACTTCAACCAATCCACGAAATTGAGTGACACATCCACCATTGTCTTCAGTGAGTTACTATCTCACAACTGACCCGGTTGATCTCCACTGATCACTGCTTCTCACTAAAACTCAAGGAAATACCTCTTGTAGCCAATAACTAGTGATCATACGGTGATTAATATCTGAAGGGATATTTGCGAATATTGTAGTAACTTTAATAGTTCAGACCATCATGAAATACCTGGAAGCTTAATTTCTATTTGACAATTTTCAATGAATCAATATGATTCAATCAATAATTTGAGGTATATAAATAACGACATAACTTATTATTATAAACAATAAATGATTAATATGTTGAATGCATTGAATTCATCATTATCCCAAGTAACCATAGATATAGGATAAGTGAAAAGAAACGAATGATTAATGAATGGGAATAAAGAAGATACAGTAGACGTGAATGTTTATATAATGTCTCTTTGTAATGGGGGGGGAAATTGATCAATAAACATAAACTTACATAGATCTTCAATAGAATAACTAGATCCAAGATGCGAATTTCGTCTTTTCTTTCTGTTGATACATACAGTTGAATGTATGTGTATCATTGTGTTTATGTTTTTCTTAACCTTGACTAATATAACATCTATAATACTAGCGTCAATAATTATCGAGCGTTTAACAAAGACTTGTGAACTGTAGATACGAGAGAATTAGGTTGACTTTAGACCTGGTCGTGACTGCATTGAAGACATATTCACTACTCGTCATGTTATAGAACATAGACATGCTTATTAGTATCCTACGATGATAGTTTTTCTTGATCTAAAAGTAGCATTTGACTCTGTAGACCTAGAGGTTTTGTGGCAATGTCCGACATTGAAAGCAAACCAGTCACATCTCGCAATCAGCATGTAACATAGATAACCCTTCGATGTATCAAAGTACTATGATTGCATTCAAGATCGTATAACATAAAGGACTTAATGATAGAAATATATTAGTAAGAATGATTACAGAGAAGTTATCAAGATCATCACCGCATGAACCAGTTCATAGCATACGATCAACTGATGTGTGCTGGGTATCATTGATTTTGACAGGGATCAATGATCTGTCCGATATTTATTGACTCAACTGCCGAATGATGTAAATCTGAAACAATAAGAGCAGAGATTATTACTCAAACATAAAATGTTATCTGATTTCTGATCGTCACTGATGGAGGCTAATTTTGACAACTTAACAATTTTTCACATAAAATCTTCGTTTTTTTCGGGGGGGGTGGATGGGGGGTCAACTTACATTTGTGAACAACAGTTTTCAGGGTAAATACTTCAATAATGTTGGTGAATTCGTCAATAAATGTTAGTTACATCAATAACTTGTGCATATTGATGTCTTTTTTTTGTTGTTGTTGTTGTTGGTATTTCGTATGTTTTCCATCTGACATGGTATCTGTATACATGACGTTTATTCACTCATCATCTACAATCATAGAGAGATTACACTATACAACCCTGAGAGAATTATGAATGGTAACTTTTGAGAACTGTTCATGGACAAATATGATACGTATATTCTTAATAAATGACTATTTAGTAGCTCGATTATGTATATCTGTACACCTTTTATTATAAGCTTTACTTTGACCTATAGACTATTATTATATGAGTTACCGTGCTTGAATTATGCCCTGTCTATTAATTACAGTCTCCTACATTCATAGTCACTATTGACTAAATCTTGTATAAATGTTGTTTTCCATGTTATGGTATGATGTGGTCTGTTTGGTTGGTATCTAAACAGAGTATGTTTGAAATATAATGATTCATATCTCAGAGGTTGAGATTGGTGCTCTGGACTTAACAGGCAGGGTTAGACAGGAAGAAGGATCGACAAAGACTCTAGACTGTTCGTACGTGTTTTATGCGTTACCGGTTCGGATGATAAATCCCTGTTCTTTAATTGGTGTTATCATTACGTCATATATTGATAAGGGTAGACGACTATAAGTTAGAACAAATAGAGATTAATGTAATCAGAAAGGCATATTTATTTCTATCAAATTTTCATATATATATATATATATATATATACAATCAATCATTGTGTTTACCCTTCAATTACTATTGGATATTTAAAAAAGGAAACATGTGCAATACATAATCTGCAGCAAATAAACTGGTTTTAGCAAAGATAGATTGTGACTAGTAGTGCAATACAGGATACACGTTTCGTCATATTTACGATCCGTTAATTGGATGTACCTACATCATAGAGTTGATATTCACTCAGGGACTCAGTAACTTAGTGTATAACGCGATGTTGTTTAAAGAGAATTGTGTTGGGTTCTAGTCCCTCCTAGAGTGAACATTAACTCTGAGATGCAGATATATCCAGTTGACGAGTCCCGAATAGGATGAAACGCGCGTCAAACTGGATTCCACTACTAACCACTATCCACCTTTGTTTATAAAGTTTGTGAATTAAGTCAATACCAAGGCAATCCGTACACAATGCACATATACCAACAAGAGGACTGATCAATTACAGTCCTAAAACAATAATGAAAAGATATAAGTAAGACAACGACAACAACAATAGCAAATGAACTGAAATTGATTTTAGATTGTTTAACTATTAAAAATCATTTAGTTAAATCAAATGGCTTAGTAACAAAATGATTATTTAACCTTAACAACTAAATATGTTTATATGAATAAAAAGTAATCATGTCTATTCAGTCATAATGATTCGTTTTATAAAGATGTCAATCATAATAAACTAAATACATAGAATTTTAAATTAGGTCACTAAGATAAGCAATAATAGATGAATATGAATTCATGTTGTTATTTATCAGAATTGTATCATTCATAGGTAGTAACTATTGAAATATCAATAAGAAAAAAATGATGCTACAAGAACTGGTATTGTTATTTGCTCAGTTCTTCATATCTTATGAATATGAGCAAATCTAAAGATAAACTTCTTGATGTCCTCAAATGCACTGGTACTGTCGAGAGTAGGGAGAGTCAGATCTCTTTTTCGAAATGCTTTCACATGGCCATTTGCATACAACCACTGACAGGGAAGTCCTACTCACTGCCTTCTCATGGTATTACTGTTGTTTACGAAATTGAGAGAACGAAAAGCGAATGTCTGGCGCTTTAACCGGATTTGTAGATGTAGAGGATCTACCTGGGGGTAGAAAAACCTGATTCCAAACCAATGGTGCACATGGGCTACAGGAACCTGAAGTAACAAGTAACGTATGAATTAATTATTAGTCACCGGCTACCATGTGACTGCATCTCCTTACGATTCTCTACTGCCATGTGTATCAGACCTTCAGGTCGAAGGCTCCGGATGTAGCCCCCTAATAAAACCACCTACTTCAGTTTGGGCACCCGGGCAGTATCATAGCCCTCACACATATCAAATGAGATTTGTGTGGCGCATATGTATTTAGTGCCTCCTTGTACCAATATCTATGTGTTCTAATAAATAATAAATAAATATTTAACCATTGAATTCATGAGCCATTGAAGCTAGACTACCATGGAAGACCTGGAAGTACTGGACAACCGTTTCTTACTAGTATGGGACTCTTCAGCAGTACACATCCGCGATCTTGCACAGCGAGATTCTAACCCAGCACTTATCCTTCTCGCGCGCCAACACTTAACCTCTACACCACTGAGCTGGCATCCAACCGTGTTAATGTCTAACTTCAACCAATCCACTAGGTTGAGCCACCATCCACCATTGTCCGTTAGTCAGTTACGATCTCACATCAGACCCGGTTGAACTCCACTGGTCACTGCTTCTCACTAGAACTTCAGGAAATACCTCTTGAAGCCAGTCACTGGTGGGCATAAGATGTTTATTATGAGAAGGGGTTTAGTGAAGATTTTACTAATTTTATGATTGAATTCATGAGTCAATTGAAGCTAGATCATCATGGAAAACGTTGAAGCAGTGGACAACCATTTCATCTTAGTATGGGACTCCTCATCAGTGAGCATCCACTATTCTGACCCACGAGATTAGGACACAGAACTAATCAGTCTCGCGCGCGAATGCTTAACTTTTAGGCCAGTGAACCGGCCGGTATACAACAGTGTTAATGTCTAACTTATATGAAATCTGAAGATAAAGTACTGATTTCAAATAGATTTCATGTTAAACTGATTGTTTAAAATGTTTAAAATTCAAAACATCATCCTTATCGTTTTTACTCATCCAGTTGATTCGAACTCATAAATTGGGTAATATACAATTCACTTAATCAAGTTTATCATCAATAAGTTTATTTATTTATTTTAACACATAAATATTGGTACAAGGAGGCACCAAATATATATGCCCCACACAAATCTCATTTGATATGTGTGAGGGCTATGATACTGCCCGGGTGCCCAAACTGAAGTAGGTGGTTTTATTAGGGGGCTACATCCGGAGCCTTCGACCTGAAGGTCTGATACACATGGCAGTAGAGAATCGTAAGGAGATGCAGTCCCATGGTAGCCGGTGACTAATAATTAATTCATACGCCATTTGTTCCTTCAGGATATAAGAGCCCATGTGCACCATTGGTTTGGAATGAAGGTTTTCCAATTCCCCTAGGTGAACTTTCCGTGTCCATCAAACTTGTTAAATCGCCGGACATTCGCTTTTCATCCTCCCAATTTCGTAAACAACTGTAATACTGCGAGGAGGCAGTGAGT